CTTCTCTTTTTCGATCATTCCTGCAGCTACCTAAAGCAAACGGGATAGAGTCGTATATGCAACGAAGGAATGACGTAATGAACGCGGCGCGATTGGCTCCTCCTTCGATATTCCATCCTTTGTTGCAAAAAGTCTGGACTAGCTCTAGGTAAGGTGCGATGAGCTCGTATCGGTGCGAATTTTTAAACGAACATCTTTTCTCGGAGATCCACGAATCGCCTCAGACGTTGCAATAAACAGCAAACGAGAAAAGAAAAGAGTTAATCGTAAAAACGCGATATCGTAGGTACGTTGGTTATTTGTTCAAACGGTGATCTGTTTTTTTTTCTCTTTGGAAATAGTTGCAATGTTCTCACGACATTGGATGGTGTATGTGTGCGTGTGTGTCAGCACGCGCGAGTGCAGAAGGTGGTGAGGGGTTTCTTTCCTGAAGGCACGCCTTTGCTCGCGTGGACTGACACACGACCGTTTTGACCTAAATAACACAATCGGATCTCGATCGACGCGTTTATACCACGGACACGATCAACGATTCGCGTCGCGCTTTATCGCTTCGAGGGAATTGTAAACTTCGCAGCTACTAAGAATATCTACGCGGATTCGCGGTATATGCCTACATATGTATATAAAAAAGGATGGAGGTAAAGGAAAGGATGCTCGTGTAAAAAAGCTCGACGAAAACATTCGATTATAAAGTTGCGACTCTATTGCTGCAAAGAAATGGTTCAGCTCAAATGTGCGTTCCGAACGTGTCCTACTTTCCAAAGCAATCATCCTGTTCGTTTCAGCGTGCTCATCGGGGTTTTACCTATTTCCAAAGATACGAGGCAAATTTCTGGTTGACGGACCTTATATTTTCCTTTCAATGACGAGTACTCGATGAAACGTTTTGTCGTTGGGTCAAAATTCCTCGGCCTAAAATCACAGAAACGAACGACGAACGGGGTTCACGGTTGGATATCGATCCAAGTCCGCGAACGACTAGTAAAATAGCGCACGAGAAAAAAAAAGGGGTTGTTCGGTAACGTCATTTTAGTTTGAACCACATCATCCCTCGATTCCAATCGAACAAGCATTATAAGTCTCGTCCAGAAAGTGGTTCGAAGTTATTTTTCCTACCGTCAGCGGTACATATACATGTGTCACGATAACACGAGGATCAACGTGGCTAGCCGACGACGCTTGTGGACGACACAGTTCGAATGGAACGGAGACTGAGCTAATTTCGAAAAAGATCCTCTTGTCAGGAAATCGTATGGTCGTTCGGCTTTGTAGGTGAATGTACCGTTTGTTTTATTCCGGCGCCGCGCGGTACGACGTGCCTGCCCACACGGCGTGGCGCGGATCCTTGTTCGCCGCTACCAGAGAAAATCAATACGCGAGCCATTAAAGTTTATCGCGATGGATGTTTCCACGCAAGCAATATCTAATTATTAATTAGTGGAGAGCGATCCTTCGCGACATCCTTCCAGTCTCCGTTGATTACATTCTGAACGCGGTTCGTATAAACGCGACGCGTGGAAACAATATTCTCACAATGCACGTACAAGATAAGCTCCGATTGATTTAAATAAGCGATTCCAAAAAGCTAAGAAATGTCGATACTATCGCGGTTTTCCAAACGTTACGATTATTCGTTTCGAGGAAATGGCACAGAATTCATAGATGTTTCGTTGCACGAGCTATTCCTCGGAGCGGTACGCTAGGTCCTCGTCTTCGAAGAAAGCGTCCATTTCATCGATCGGTAACGGGTGAGCCGCCGTACTTGACCGTGAGAAAGCGTTCGAACGAAAGTTGTCAATAGAAATCCAGTTTGTTGCGCGCGTTTCGTTCGGTTCATGGTTTACCCGTAACACGGCGATCGGTGTTGGCGCGACCCAAGCGATTTGCATTACGACTTAAATTACAAGGCCTGTTATCACGGCAATAATAAAACAGAACGGTAAACCATGGATTATTCCGCGTTCGCGGTAATAAGTGACAGTCATCGTGCGCGGATGCAAATGGGTTACATACTAATACAAAATATGGATAGTCGCGTTACTAAAAAATTATTTGTAAGTGCATCGCGCAAAACGAGATGTTCTTCGACCGATCGATCATTTATTTTCTTGCTCATTCGAACTCTGGTATGGATTGTAGGATCCTCGAGATAAATTTTTGCGGTAATTTTTGGTCACACAGTGACTCTACTGTCGGTCGTTAAAGTTTCCCGGTCTTAGGAGTACATCGGAGATAACGGATATTGTTAATACGGAAAAAAAGTACAGACTACAGAAATCGGCTTGAATAGCTTTTGTGCGTTATTTAAAAAAAAATCAAGTACATCGTTGGACCTTAGCGACTAATATTACGATGAAATTCTTACGGCGGTCGTTGCTGTTCAGTTACCGCTTACCGTATGCGAAACGTGATATGTACTTGTAAAAATATATGGTGTCGTAGCGTTTCAACCTTTCATCGCGCCGAATGGCATCGATTTCTTGTACTTACTAAGCAAGGCAACTATTCGCAGGATTCCAGATACGAGCCGATCGTTTGATTTCGTTTAATTTCGTTTGATTACGTTTGATTATGGTTCGTTCAGTACCATTTCGGTTCGTTTCGATCAGATTCAGTTCGTAGTATGTACTTACATTGGACGTATGACGAGCTAGAAGGTCGCCTTTCATTATTTACACGATCGTTGAACGTAAATAATTTCTAAAAGCACTCGTACTGATAAGCACATTACCATCGACGCCTACGCCTACAGAAGTGACTCACACTCTCTTTGATGGTTATTGCGTTCGCTCACTCGTTCGCCTATACTGTAACCAACAACGTCGACCGTGTCCATGATCGACTAGACGAAACGGTTTACCTTACACCCGGTGTTTTGCGTTTAAATCAGAAAGTTTAACTCGATGTTGATTTATAGCGGACGCCGCACGATTGGCACGTTTCGTTTTCTGAGCGCTCCGCAGAGAGGGTTAAATATCACCAACCGATCCAAACTTTGTTTCTCTGCTCCCGCACGATTAGAGCCGGTCTACCATTTCTTTCGAATTGACGAAACGATCCATCTTCGTTCGAATTTAGCGCAATGAAGAGTTTAACGATCGCGATTCCGTCTATAATTCCGCTTGTCCTTGATATTGTAGCAATTTATTTCCCAATTAATTGTTCACGGGTTCGAATCGTTCGCTGCCGCTAATGCTCTCCTCGTCGCTTGTGTAATCTCGCAGCTACATTTCACCACGTCAATATTGCCAATCACTCGCGACTCTGCGACGAACGTAGTTTCGTACCACGAATTACTTCGATGCTCACTTTCAAAGGAAACCGAGTTCCGCGCTTCGGCGCGAGTCCTCGGTGAACTCTTAGTCGTCGAAACTTTCGTGATTCGCGATACGATATTCCGTGTACGCAATCGTCATTGAGGGGAAGTAATACGATTCACACGTTAAAGAAAATGTCGGTATTTTTTTCTACCATACTCTCGCAACACCTATGTACACACATACATGGTAAACACACGTGGGAACCGCAAACATTAGAACATATATTCATAGTAAATTTGAAAATGTTATCTCTGTTGAACGGATAAATAATACAATCATGAAAAACTGCAAGGTATCTTAATCCGTGCGTTCTTCAACCGTACGATGCTAGCTCTGGCTGGAAAAACCGAGCGCAAACTGTTTTCGCGTATTAGTAATTAATCCGAATTCTTTTGTACCTCGCTGCACATTCTTTGCGTGTTATGTTACCCTTTATATGGGGACAGAACGCGAGGTACGGCTTCTAGAATAGTCTAACAGCGGCCTTGTAATCCGTAATGTAATCAGCGCGTGACGTCAGTGTACCTAGTCCCTAGTTCCGTGAGGATCGGATCACAAAGTACACCTTGAGGACGCGCGCGAACCTCGAGCAGCGCATCCGGCGAATCTATTCAGTGCGCTGCAATGTTCCGCAATGCTCCGCCGACCGGACCAACGACGGAATCGATTACGGGTTTTGCAAAACTGATTTCCTTCGAAAGAGACGCGTACATGGATCGATGCTCCGAATCTTATCGAATCGATCACTTTATACCGCGTAGATTCCGTGCGAAAGAAAAACAGCCCGAAAGCTTAACCATCACGAGCCGAAGGATAAGAACCTATCGAAGAACGTAGCGGTCTGAAAGTAATTACGGACATTAGTACATATTATCTATGAATAGTGGTCGGTGTCTGGTATCGAGAGTGTATTATTTAGGTGTTGATAGACAAGGTGGTAGCAGAACCGGAACCGGTATGCGTGAGAAGTGTACGTAGAAACCAAGAGAAACTCGATACATTCCCCCTGACTACGAAACACTGCAGCCATTATTTAATAAGCTCTTCCAAGGCTGGTTGATCTTTGCCCCAGAACGCGCTAAACGACGATCACGACATTCTTGAGATGCAAACCGACATGACTTTCGAATGAACTCGCTGTGCCGCTCATCTTCAGATGAACTATATAGACTTAATTGATTTGCTGTTTGTTGCCTCCGAGTTCGATCGCGAAGCAACAAAGTTATCAATTCCGAGCAACGATCGCGTAAGAGAGATTTCATATTGTGTGCGTGAACGATGAAGCGAAGAAAATGAAAGAACCGCAATTAATTCCTACTAACAATTTCGTTTATGCAACGATCGCGTAAGAGAGATTTTATATTGTGTTTGCGTGAACGATGAAGCGAAGAAAATGAAAGAACCGCAATTAATTCCTACTAACAATTTCGTTTCCGTATACATGCACCGCGCGGAACAGGGAAAAATACTTTGTAACGTCGATTCACGATCCACAATGAGGTGAAAAATTGGCAATTCGGAAGATTAGGCTGGGGTTGATATCAGAGGATATTTTTATGGAGACGCGAAGGGATGATCCGGAATCACGGCGGGATCCGTGTCAGTGTCATTGGACGGGACCGTGGTTCTGGAGACTGGTGCGCGACACTCTGTGACCTCCTTTTGCATGTGTTACAGGGGTGCTGGAGATGGCGGCCACGGAGAGCACGATTCGATTCAGCGGCCATACGTTGGACAAGGCTACTAAGGCCAAGGTGAGCCGAGTTTTCCGCATTTTTCTTCCTTTCCTTCTATACGCGATCTTTTTACGCGGTTCCTTTCATCGCCGCGTACCCCGCTCCATGCAAGCAGACTCTTTTTTGTAGCGTTTCATTGTATATGTTTACATTAACGTTTATTGTATGTTTGTGGCCAGGTAACGTTGGAAAATTACTACAGTAATTTGATAGCCCAACATATCGAGCGAAAGCAGAGGCTCGCGAAATTAGAGGAATCACTGAAAGACGAAGGGCTTTCGGAACAACAGAAACAAGAGAAACGGTTGCAACATGCCCAGAAAGAGACCGAATTCCTTCGGCTAAAGCGTTCCCGTCTCGGTGTCGAAGACTTTGAGCCTCTCAAAGTAATCGGCAGGGGCGCTTTTGGAGAGGTACACTTTTTCTTGCTTTTACCTTTTGGCCAAACTGAATGTTGTTTTAACATAACGTAACCCTGGTTGTTTCTTCCTATGAAAAAGGTGAGACTCGTTCAGAAGAAGGACACCGGGCACGTGTACGCGATGAAAATTCTGAGGAAAGCCGATATGTTGGAGAAAGAGCAAGTTGCGCACGTCCGGGCCGAAAGAGATGTTCTGGTGGAAGCGGATCATCAGTGGGTCGTGAAAATGTACTACAGCTTTCAAGATCCTATAAATCTCTATTTAATAATGGAGTTTCTTCCTGGCGGTAAGCGATTCTCGCTTTTCGTTCAGTCCTCGGAAAACTTGCTTGCGCAACGTTCCCTCGACCACTCGATCGTGGCATCGTTCCTTTCCTTCAACTTTTTCCATCGTTTACATTTCACAGTGCGGTTCTGTTTATACAGGTGATATGATGACGCTGCTAATGAAGAAAGATACGCTTTCCGAAGAATGCACGCAGTTTTACATTTCTGAGACGGCGTTGGCGATCGACTCCATTCATAAGCTGGGTTTCATTCACAGGTAAACCGTTAAACATCCTGGCGAATTCCATGTTTACCGTGGCGATCACCTAGAATCGTGTGCGACTACTCTTATGTTTCGTTCTAATCATTTTCTTTCGCAGAGATATAAAACCGGACAATTTGTTACTGGATGCACGGGGTCATATAAAGCTCTCGGATTTTGGGCTGTGCACGGGTCTGAAGAAATCTCATAGAACCGATTTCTATAGGGATCTTAGTCAGGCGAAACCTTCGGATTTTAGTAAGTAATCGGTTTCGTTTAGTCGTAGATAGAACCGCTGGCGTCAACCAATTGGCGAATGTTCGGGTTTAAACCGATGCTTGATCGCTTTTCAGTGACGTCCTGTGGTAGCGGTAGCGGTGGGGCGATGGATAGCAAAAGAAGAGCCGAAAGCTGGAAAAGAAACAGGAGAGCACTGGCTTATAGTACAGTAGGAACGCCTGATTATATAGCCCCGGAAGTATTTCTGCAAACCGGCTATGGACCAGCCTGCGACTGTTGGTCCTTGGGCGTGATCATGTACGAGATGCTCATTGGTAATACTTCCATTTATTCCCTCGTGTTTGTTCGTGTATTCTCGTGTCGCCTCGATCGCATTTCTCTTCTTACGCGCGATCGAACGTCGCGTATTCGTTGTTTGTCTTTTCTAAAATCTCCACAACACCCTGTCGATACGCTTCTCTTTACACGAATTTCAGGATATCCTCCATTCTGCAGCGAAAATCCACAAGAGACCTACAGAAAAGTTATGAATTGGAGGGAGACTTTGGTATTTCCGCCGGAAGTGCCTATTAGCGAGGAAGCTAAGGATACTATAATTAGATTCTGTTGCGAGGCTGACAGAAGATTAGGTTAATATTTCAATACCGTATGAAATAATACTTGATTTACCGATTATATGAACGAGCGTTCCAACGTTTGTTTCGCGTCGGTGTTCGTGTCCTGATTCGTAGGTAATAGTTCGTATACAATTTTAGGTGCTCAACGAGGTATCGAAGAGCTGAAATTGGCACCTTTCTTTCGCGGTGTCGATTGGGAGCACATCAGGGAGAGACCGGCGGCAATTCCGGTCGAAGTACGCTCTATCGACGACACCTCCAACTTTGACGAATTTCCCGACGTAAAGTTGGAAATACGTAAGTGTACCTTATCTGATTCGAATTAGAAAAAGTATCGAAGAAAAACGATAGTGCGGCATTTTCACGTTATTTTAAAATTTTTTCAACGATTTCAGCATCCGCCCCGATGCCTCAAGACGGAGAAGTAATATACAAGGACTGGGTATTTATAAATTACACGTTCAAGCGATTCGAAGGATTAACGCAACGGGGTACACCGACCAAGAAATAGCAACACCCTACCTCTTGTTCGGTTCCAACCGGCAGTCAACAATCTGACGCAACTGGTATTCCGGCCTTGGTACATCACCCACACCCTCCTTTGTCATCGACGACATCCCGGATGGATGGCTGATCCGTTCCATTTTTCTTCTTTTTTCCATACGGCCCAGTCTATCATTGAGGGTGAAACATCCTTGTGTGTATATATATGTATACGTTGTGCGACGATCGCGACGCGTCTACGTACATACTAATAAACGCAAGAGAAGAAGAAGAGGAGAGAATGACGAACGCGACTGAACGGCGTAGAGGTCGACGTAGAGAATGTCGCGTCGTTATTTGTGAAAACACGAAGAATGAAGTGATCAAGATTTCGAAAACGAGCGAGTGTGAAAATTGATGCACATGTGATAAGGAAGAACCGAAATATTTAGTGCACCACGTAATAATTCGCGGCGGTCTTCTGCTACGAAAGACTATGAAAGTTTTCTTTCCGATTTGCTCTCGGCATTGTTTCCATCCGACCTTTGACACGCAGCATAATAAGCTCTCTGTAGTGATAATATTAATGGGAAAACAAAGATGGAGCCTCGGTCTCATGATTCTCGCAGTGCATACAATTTTGACGTGGAATAATAATTTCGTTCGATGCGTTCTTTTCTCCTTTTAACGAAATACTGGCCCGGCTCTCCTTTTAGCTCTCTTTTCGATGTTGTATTTATAGCTAGTACTGTGATATGAAATTGTTTGAAAGTTTTGTATACAAATTGCTGTTTTGTCTGTTAACAAATACTGATCTTTACGAACGTTGCATTCTACTCGATTGTCCCTAGGTTTTCCCTAAACATTTAGAAATTTTAATTGTTAATGTGAAACACGTATTTTATATTATATATTTTTCGAGAGCTTTTGCCCGGATTTGTTGTGCCACGCGAACTTACGCGAAGAATGATGATCTACAAATTATTTCTCCGAAATGGGTCGCGTATTATTCGATTCTTCTTAATTTTCCATTTTTCACGTTCTCGATCGCATCTCACGCAAATGGTATTCCGACATTTCGCGGAGCGTTAAACTAACGTTTTAAAATTCTTTATTTACGCATATTGACGGTCCGCTTGAAACGCTATAATTAGGAGAAATCCTACTGCGGAATAAGCTTTGTGGCGCGAGCCATTGCGTAACATTTACGCTTTGCGACTTTCTGTACCGACATATGATGTATCGTTAAATAAAAATATTATTCCAAGGAATCGATATGGCAAAGAAACGATTGAGACGCGTACAAGGAGAATCATACAGGCACCGGGTCTCTTTCTTACAGATCATTTCTTCAAAGTGTTTCCGTTCGTGTCTGAATATTGTGAATATCGCATAGTAACGAACGCGAAGCTGACAAAGGACTCACTCGTAAGATTTAGGGCTCATTCGTTGCCTTATCAAGGTTCCTAACGCGTTCCAACCGTGCAGCCCAATTCATCACGAATAAAGAAGGAAAACAATATTTCCAAATCTGGATAAAACATATGTAGTCGTAATATTGAAGAAAAGAAAATTATCGACAATTTGTCGATGCGATCGACACCAGTTCATCTTTGGTACACACATATAATTTTTATAGCGATTTCACTGAAAAATAGATTTCAATTTAAAACGGACGCATGTGTCTACGCCTCCTGGGTTTGAAAATGTCTGGTAGTCGAATTATTTTATCAAATTGTCTGTTCAAACGTTTCGATCCGATTTGATTTATTTCGTTTCGTTTCGTTTCGAGTAACGCATACGGTTGCTTCAAGAGAATCGTTTCAACGAATACTTAACACCAATTGGATCGCGAGAAATTTCCTACATGCACGAAAGGATAAGTAGTGCACCGGCATCTTGTCTTGCATATTCTGCCGAACGATATAGTTTTATTTGGAATATAGCACCGCGAACAATATAGCGTTTACATCTTGTAGTTTGCCGACAGCCAGGGCACCATGGTAGTAATAGTACTAATTATAAAAGATGCTAGATAACATATAAGATCGCGTACAGATGTACCTACGCGTGTGCACGCTAGATACGTATCGCGTTCCGGCTGATAGTACTTGTATAAACGTTTCACTCCTTCGTCGTACGATCAGGCTTGTGTATGTTAACGATCAACTACTTAATCACGTTGCTATATACGTATTTCTAAAAAAAATTGTTTAGTACGACCGGATCTGCGAACGCTTCCAGCGTCGAGTATGGACAGGCAAAATTTTCGTTCAACGGCTTCGATCGATACGCGAAGCAAACTAGATACGCGTTGGAACAAAGTATTTTTCTAAATACATCGCGAAACGAAGAAATCACTCAGTCGAGGAAATTATTCCTGTACCTCTGTGTGGCAGCCTCGACTCGCGTTTCCTAGTATATTCTCGGGATTAAAAATGTCAAGCGTGTATCATTAACGTTCCATACTTCCATGTTCGAAGCGTGGCTTGTCCTTTTCGTGAAACGAAACAAAAAGGTCTCGATACTACAACCGAAAGATACCGAATACTTAGGTTTACGGAATACCATTTAAGTCGACAATTTTTAAGCGAAAGAACCGTTAAACGATAAATGCAAAACTATTTTCTGCACCGGTAAATATGAAACTGGTATGGAATGGGGAAAAAGTGTGTATGTGCGCGAATGCGTGAATGACAGAAACTAATGCCGAGAATGGGAGGGGGGGGAGGGGTAAACGAAAATTTGAGATATGAGGACGAAAGAGAGAAAGTGAGAGAGTGAGAGCGAGAGTGAAGGGGAAGGGTTAATAAGTTCAATAACCTCGTTGCTGCCGAGTACACATGTATATGCTCTGACGTCCAATGCTGCCAAGTAAAGAAACGCAGCAATCGCAATTTATTTATTTAAAGAGAGGATTAAATAAAAAAAAACAATAGCCACGAGATGCCTTGGATGCAGCAAATGTTTGGTGCCCTGGACATAAACAGTACGAATTAGAGAAATACAGCGGGAATAGGGAGGAAATTTATAATGCCGTGGGACTTCTGTGGACAAGAACGAATATGCATCGACTCGAAGAATGCCCGCGAACGAAAAAATTGATCGATTGTGACCATGTACGAGTACGAGTATGCGCGTACCGGCTATTTACAGACTATGTGTAAGCGTATTCCGAGAGAAACTCCAATAGATTATGCAGTAATCGTCATCGGTGTACATTGTAAATATTACGGAACAAACAAAATCGCAATGCTGGTCGAAATCGAGTATTGAGCACAAGCCGAGCAGCAACGTGTCAAGTTATTTTACAATCGCATCGCTCGGGTAGAACGGTCTAAATTGCATGTAAGTCAAGTGTAAAGTGGCGCTAGATTACGCCTCGAAGTATAATTCGAAATCAACGGCCGAATGAACTATTGCGACGTAATCACGCAAAGTTGATCCTTTCGCGAGGCCTTCGAGTCTGCTCTACCTTGTTTATAAGAAAAAGAATGTTCAGGTGGACAGAGAATTATGTATCGCTTCCGTTGCTATTTTGGTCCACCGGTTCGTAAGAGTATGCGCGAATCGTTTTAGATATTTGCGATGAACGGTACTCGAATCAACGACCAGCACTGCTTCGATCGGTTGATAAGAATAAGAGAAGCATTTCCATGTTCGATCGAGTTTAATTGGCCGCAGATTGCTGCCATCCTCGTCCTTATATTGTTATTACCATTAACGGAATCTGCGTTCGAGCACGGTTTTCCCAGCGAGAAGAGAAACGATCGATTGCTCGCTCGCTCGCAATAGTCGGTTGACGTTGTTTGTTCGATCGATTTTCTCCAAAATTGGCGAACTGAAAGAGAAACAGGTATGCGAAATTTGTGTAGATAAGAAGCGGTTGTCGTTAATTCGTATATCAATTCTTTCGTCCACGTTTTCCTATTCAAACCTTGCGAAAGCTTTACAGCGCTTGGTTACCATTCCGACGGGCAAGACGAACGCGTGCCCTTCGCTCGAAATACGCGCGTCGCTTTTCTTATTCGTCTTCTCTTTGAAAATATTCGACAACTGTCCTGTCCCTTGCAAAAAAAGATAATACGTCTTGCCATTTAATAAGGAAGGAATTTTATCGAGCGCCTGCATGACGATTCCACTGTTTTTTTCACACGGCCAGTTTGCACATACTATTACTATTTTAATTGGGACCGGTAGCATTGATTGTTTAGCTCGTACTATTTTCAAAATACTACAAGCATCGCTTTTGTCGTTGCCCCTGTGATCGCTGATGCACGGTGCGTTCGTTATACCTAGAATAACTCGAAATGATATCGTTCCCTGCTTTTTTTCGATCGATTCTGTTTACCGTTGCCTGTTACCTTTTTAAGAAATTCAACAAATAGCACGCCATTTTGCCTTTGAGAAAGTCGAACGAAGATAAAAGCGAGACAAACGACGCGATCGTTTGGGTTGCGACTAGATCGAAAAATGATCTTCGAGCGGTAGCAAAGGAAAATCAGAAACACAATGTATAAAGTGAAATATTGCTTTTCACACGGGATATATAATATTGTAACTATAGTGATTGTCGTTAATAAATTGTTTTTTATTTTAATTGTTGTTCGTTTCTGTTTAACGGATTTTTTGCGACAAATAAAGTCGATGAAGTAATGCTGCCGAAACGTTGGGAGAACAATTCTACAAGGATACGGCTTACACCCGAAAGCCTTAACAGTGAGAATTGCATGATGCCGGGCTGTGAAAGCCTCAAATCTCTGATTACTGTAAATTAGACAAAAAAGGAAAGGCCCTCTTAAGATGTTCCATGAGATGATCGTGTACAAAAGTGCTCCAGTTGGCCTGAAACGACTCATTCTCGTGTCACGACTTTTTTGGTATCTAGAATCATACCATTGCAACATCACGTTCAATAATACCGATAAAGTACGTAACGTTGGAATTTTGGCATTTTTTTAAATCGATATTCTATTCACCTCTACAGCTAGTTAAAATATTCCAGCTATCATCAGTTCCAATGTTATTCAAAATTTCAGTCTTCCCAGCCCTCATATCTTAACGAAATATTCAAAGTTATTTTTCTGTCAAAGTTACTAAAAATACATTTTCATATGTGTCTTGACCGATGTGGTGGACAATTGCTATCTTTTCCACACCAAGTTTATGGGAGCCTCGCCCTGTCCCATGGTCGTATCAGATATACAATAGACCCTTCAAGGAATTCTTAGCTGGCAAAAACATTTCAATTCTGTGAGAAAACAAAGTGATGCGTGCTAGGTGGGGTCACAGCACTCCCCGCAGGTATCACCAGAGACCCGTGTTGGTGAGAGCGTGGGGTCATAGAACCCCCGCAGGTCGCGCCATTGACACCGTGTGGTGAGAGCGTGGGGTCACAGAACCCCCGCAGGTGGCGCCACAAATCCCGTATGGTGAGAGCGTGGGGTCACAGAACCCCACAGATGGCGTCAGAGGCCCCGTGTGACGAGACCGTGGGGTCACAGAACCCCCGCAAGTGGCGCCAGTGACCCCGTGGGTTCAGAGCGTGGGGTCATACAACCCCCGAGCATGCGCAAGAGTTTTGAAACGTGAGCAAATTATATAGTAACCCCAGCAACCATAGCAGTTTCTGCAGATCCTACTACAGCCCAAGTTTAAAAGACATAGGCAGTACTTAGTTTCTGTAGTAACCTACTGAACCAGACAACTATAATTAGTATAGGATTGCACAATATTTATACAGGTATATTTAATACAATTCGATGAAATGAAGCTTATATTACCTGACGTATGATTATTGGAGTATACATATGTACATATAAATTACAATGATATAAAAGTTTGAAATACAATACGATGCGATACGGTACAACACGTCTATTCGATTCAATTGCTCCCTTGCGACTACAACATCATAGTATCCGCGTTCGGCGCAGTGCGCTATTACGGAGGCCAACGAAATATCACTGTAACACTTAAAAAAGTGTTAAAGTTCCATTTATATCATTGTTCTGTGAAAATGTTCATACCTCCAGCAGCATTCATATTCCAATCAAAGAACTTACAGAACAAGGAAAAGGAATCTAAAGTAATTTTCAGAAGTTCCATACATCATTATCTCGAATAATTTTCTAAAACATTCAAAGTACTAGACATTTTTACACTTTGAATCTCATATCGATTTCTAAAATAATCC